AACTATCTTCATAAGAAAAAGACTTTAAACAAGTGAAAGGACATGCCTCAGATTGAGAAAAGGTATTTGTAACAGATAACAAAAAAGACTTTGTTCACAGAACATTTCCAAACATTTAAAAAAACAATTACAAAAAAAGAATCCAATAGAAAAATAAGCAAAGGATATAAGCAAAGAATTTGTGAAAGAAGACACTAAATGGGCAAATGAAATTAAAAATACAAAACTTGAAGATTGGCAAAAATTAACAATTTTGATAGTATCAAAGAGGAACCTCCACACTGCTGTATCATAAACTGACACCGTCACTTTAGAGAGTAAGTTAGCAGTGCCCAGGAAAACGGAATGGCGCCCGTACTGCAGGACCCAGCATGAAGCACACACCCAAATGGCACATGCGATGGGTGTCTGCCGCAGCACTGGCTTTTAATCGTGACGGGATGGAGACCCCACTGTCCCTCGGCAGGGGATACAGAACGCGTGGTTTAGTAACAGTAAAAATTACAATTAACAGGGTGATCAGAGTCAACAAACCTGCGTGGATGGATGACAGGTACACGATGACGCCAAATGACATCACAAATGAAAAAACATAAAACACATTTCCGCTTGGAAGAGCTTTTTAACCATATGGTACATATTTTATTTAAAACTTTTTGTTGTGATGATCATTTTCAAATACACGAAGTTAGGAAAGTATAGCGAAACTCCTTGTACTCATCACCCGGCTTCAGTAATTACCCATATTGGCCCGGCATCCGCAGGCGTTTTCACGCTGCGGAAATGGCCATTACCCAGTACCCCTGAGAGACCACGGGACAAAGGGAGCGGCGAGCCGGGTTGCAGAGCAGACGCCACCAGCCCGAGTGCTGTGACTACGCGCCAGGCCTCCGCCTGGCCTCCTCTTGGAACTGGGAGGACTTCAGGTTGGACGGATAGAATGTTTGGGACAAGAGGCACTAATTGGGATGCAACCCGACTTTCCAGGGGGTACAGATGGGAATCACGACATACCACGAAAGCGCCAGGGACAGAAACACTGAGACTGCACCTGTCTTCCTGAATCCCTGCTCTAGATGACCAGACGGAGGCCTCCGCCAGCTCTGTGGGGACACGATGTCACCCTCAGAGATCTCTCAGGGATCACTGACATTGCTCCCCCAAACACCCATCTCCTCTTCTCCCGCATCTAGACTCTGCTGTGACACCAGGGCGGCGAGGAGCTTCTCTGCTCCTGTCCCCGCCCTCACTTCTGAGGTGCTGATGCGCAGACAAGGCAGGCCCGCAGCCTGGCTCGGACACCCCAAGCCACCCCCATGCACGAAGGGACCGGATGGACTGGCAAAGAGGGGGCCTGTGCTGTTTGGAAAGGTGACACATACCTCTTGAAGCAGTGTGCCGCTGTCAGGACCCAGCAGCTGCTGAGGAGTGTGGCCCCACAAAGGAGCCTGCCATCTCCATGGGACGACTTTAGCCGGAGCGACACCTGCCAAGGCCAACCCCCCCTGCGAAGAAAGTAGGCCGCTCATCAACATCCACGTGAGGCAGACAAACAAAGAAAGCATCCACGAAAACTATGACTTAGTGGCTCACGGGCGGGAAGAAGGAGCCTCAAAGCGATCGAGGACAGAGGTCCTCTCCTGCTTTGAGAATGATGCCCCCAGAGCCCCGAGCAAACAGGACTCTCTCTCCGCATTCTAGAAACAAGCTGAGTCTCCTCACACCTCCCGACGTGAAGTGTGTCTCCCCTCCTCACCCCCCCTCCCCTCAGCGGCCCGAAGAGCATCTACTACACAAAGCGCCTGTGTTCCGCTGGGAAATCCAACAAGCGACGTCATGACGTTAAAATGAGTCAACTCCAAAACGAATATATTCTAAGTTTAACGAATTTCGTAGTTTTGTATTTTTTTTTTCAGACCTCTCGTTAAATTAGTTTGTTTCTGCCACATAACTTCGGTTGCACGTCTATTTCACAAATCAGGGGACAGTGACACAAGAAAGTGGTCCATATAAAGTCCACACCTCAGAGGACAGGGAAATGATCAGCGGGATGTGTGCTTAATTTGGAAAATAAAACAAATAAAATAAGTACCTTACATAAAATAAGTACCTTATGAATAAAATAAGTACCTTACACACTTCGTGTGCATATAAATGATTCCGGAACACGGAAAGTCTGTCCTGAAGCGCCTCTTACCTTAAGGAGTTTTTGCCGCCGATGATGCGCTTCTGCCTCCAGTGCAGTGACCTCATCCCGCAGACGGCCGCCAGGGACTCTGAGCAGAAACGGGCTGTGCGTTACACGCCCGCACAGTCACGGGGTGAAGACGCAGGCACGCACGCCCTGCTGCTTCCGCCCCCACTTTAAATGCCTTTCTCTTCGCATTGTAGGGTACTCTTTCTCGTGATCAGAATAAAACGCTGTCTTCTCATTTCAGTAAGGCAACAGTAGTCGGCAAGCACGAGGGATGGGGTGGGGCTCCCACACCCTCTCCGAAGGCTTCACGAGCTGCTGAAGGGCCTGACCCCGTCCGCATGTCAACCTCCAGCTGACCACCCCCTCACCCCCACCCCAGCGACCATGGGGGTTGTCTGGGGCTCAGGAACATCAGACAAAAAACGGAACTCCAAGGCCACAGTGTCCTAACCTGCTTTTTCACACACGACACTCTCTCGAGCCACTTGGGGGGCCCCTTTCTCCACTGAGAAATAACCATACTTCCTGTCGGGCTCCTCTCTGCCTGGTACTGTGGGAGACTTGGTGGGGACCGGGCTGTCATATTTTGGGCACAATTTCCACTCTTCCCTTCTTACACAGATAGATAAACAGTGTACCTACACCCTTCACGCACAGGTAGCTAACGGAAGAAACAGAACACCCCATGTGTAAATGTGCACGTGGAACTCGGGGGAGCCGAGCGCATTCTCAGGATGGGATTCTGATCCGACCTTACGTTCACTTGGATCTTCACACGTGGAAATGGTTCACTGAGCCCATTTAAGGAGCAAACTGTGCCCAAGGTACATACACAGTCCAACGTCCCAAGACAGCAAACTTCTGCCAGGGGCATGAAAAAAGAACTAACTTAAAAATAAATGACAAGGTGGTGTACAGAAGAAAGGTACATACAAGGTAGACTAGATTTTTAAATAATTTCAGAAAGCAGGAGAATTTACACGTGGGGTATTCTGTTTCTTTGGTTAGGTAGCCGTGCGTGAAGGGTGGATGTACACTGCTTATCTATCTGTGTAACAAGCGATAAACTGTACCAAAAACATGACAGCCCGGTCCCCACCGAGTCTCCCACAGCGCGGCAGAGGGGAGCCTGACAGGGACTCAGCACAGTCGCTTCTCAGTGGAGAGGCCCCGTGAGGTGCACCGAGACAGCTAATGCGCCCCACGACCTCAGAGGCCTGCTGTCCAACTTATCCTCAGCCCTCGGACGGGAGCCCTCAAGATGACACTGCAAATTGTAAGACATTAAAAACAACACAGGTTCCCCATAATGCTCCGAGTCAGATCGTGTGCACGATGCCAGGACAGGGAATGATGTCATTCTGACCTCACTCGGGGGCAAAGCACCAGAATGCAGGAAAGGAAAAATAAGTTCAAGCCATGAACTCGCTGTTACAAAAAATTAAGAAGCAAACGAAGTTCATTTATAAAAGGATCCCATCAGAGGACCAAAGGCTTAAGTTTGAGTCACTGCATGAGTCAGGAGGTCTCGAGCCCAACACATAATCAAGAGATTAATAAGCCAGACCCCATACTCTAGCTGGTCTGAGATGAACGCTTGTCACCTGAGGTATGATAGCACTGCAACCATGGAAAGGTATCAAAATAAGCATTGCTACACCTCCAGGAAGGCACAAAACAAATGCATAAATAACGAAGAAATGGATCTATGGTACATCACGTTTTAAAATAGGATTACATAGAAATGTAAGAAAACATTTTACGATTATTGAATTTTTGTGTTTTTCTACTACTTAAGGAGTAATCCAAATAGCTATATTACTTAGTTATATTTAAAATTGTAACTACGGTTGAAATTATTGAAGGGAATTTAATTGTTATAATCAATACTTAGGAAAAAATGCCTAGCCAAGTCATATTACGTGTATAAATATTTATGCATGTGTATGTATGTGTGTATACATTCATATATATACATGTGTGTACATACACACACACACACACACACACACATCAAAGCACAAAGGTACGTTGTACCTTGTCCATATTCGAAAGCCCCACAGGTGGTAAAGAATTGTATTAACAATACCCACTTTGTTAACTGTATTGTCCTTAGCAGTTATGAAAAGACGTTAATAAAGGAGAATGCTCAAATACAGATGCACCAGATTTTCTGAAAATGTATCAAAACTGTGAACTTTCAATCAACATAAAGCGATGGTTCTTTTCATAAAATGTAACCAGTTTTCTCCAAAATATCTAGTTCTTCCACTTATTCATTTAAAGCTTTGTTTCATAAAAAGTAAACTAACAGCTTTCAAGAACTCGTCTATTTCTTTAACTATGAAACATCTATTACTGTATTATACTCAGAGATTTCTCATTTTCTTTACATTTTTAAATTTCAGACTAAAATCTACAGAAGATAATTGTCCTTTCGTAATTAATTTTAAGAATGATCTCTGTTCAAAATGCTCGTAGGAGCAGAGGCGCCCTTGCGTCATTACATCCGAGAAGGCTCGTTCAGAAACGGCTGAGAGCGAGACCAGGGCCGGCTGCAGAGGTGACGGCCTAGGAGGCCGCCGGCTCGGCGCTCTGCTCCCTGCAGAGTCTGCGCAGGGAGGGCCACCGAGCGCAGCACACGCAGCTCAGCCCGCGGGTATCCCCGGGCACCGCAGTCCAGGGTCTGCTCAGGGCGAGGCGTGGGGCCTGCAGCCTCTGCCTGCGCAGGGCCCAGAGGTGACTCACCTGCACTACCGTTGCCTGATGCTTTCTTGCCAAAATAATCACAAATGACGCCTGCGTCTTCGCTGTGGCGGCAGTTGTGTCTTCCCAGTTCCTGCTTGACACAGTCGGCCAGGGACCGCTCAGTCCCTGTGCACCTCACGTTATCCACGTGGATGGGCCCCTTCCCCTCCCCGAAATAGGCCATGGGGCGGGCTCTGGCAGGTCCCCTGCAAACACAGGGCATGGGAGGTCAGCCCAGTCAGTCACACAGCTGAATGAACCACAAGACACGTTTTTTAAGGTTCTGGATCTATTTGAATATATATATTATATATATGCAGTTGAATAAGGCAAGTCTTTGAAAGCAAATACTGCATTTGAAACACGTATAATTAAAATATAACTATTTAAAGAAAAGGTTTTTGTTTTGAATATCACAGCTGTCTGGAATTTATTTCTGTTTAGTGTCAGTAAAGGATCTAGCTGTATTTTAGTTCCTGAAGTAATTATCCCAATAACTTTTCCTGCTGTTCTGCAGGGCTTTCCTATTTATTTGTGTATCATGCTCATGTGGACTCAAACCTGGTTCCTTATAATTCAAGGATTCCCAACCTTGGCTACATATTAGAGTCACCGTTGAAAGCTTTTAAAATACAGCAAAACCCAAACCCCCGCTGACGACAAAGTATCATCCATGGGGCCAGGCACGGGTAATATATTTTTAAGTCCCAAGTGACTTTAATGCACCATCGAGGTCAATAACCGCTGCTGCATCTCGTGTCACTGGGTTCTTTGCCTCTTCCTGCGTGAAAATACGCAATTTTTCCACAGCGATGGAGGCTCCTTTAATCCAAGAACCCGTCAGTCTAATTAAGAAGTGGGAGCTTTGGTCAACTTTTACCTCCAATGTTTAATAATTATTTATCAAATTTTGTTATTTCTGTTGTTGTTTTAAATCGGTTGTGTGCTAGAAACTGTAAAATCCAGAGAGGAACTTGTCAGAAGAACTTAACTTCTCTCTCCCTTGTCCTCTGCATGTGGGTGTGCATGTGCATTTTTTTAAGCATAATAATATGAAGATTCTGTGGGGAAAGAGAATTTAAATTACAATTTCAAGGAGACAAAGGAACTATGTAAAGTCTGTGAAGGTCGAAGAAGAGCTTGTTCATGTATTTTTTAATGACTGACGGAGAATGTCAAATCACTATGGTATTTATATTCCATTGCATATAATTAAGAGTGATGTCACTTTTCTATTTTTCAATGCCATACACGAATATTCCAGAAATCAAATGTAAGATAAAAGTTGGATATACTTCATTTCAGGTCTCCACGAAAACAGAAGGGGTCCGCCATTTTTTAAAAATTATCTTAAGGGACACTACTCTAACAAATATGCGGTTCCAGAACAACGTCGTACTGAAACACACTAACGGACAGGCCGGAGCTCAAGGAGGATGGAATTCCCAGCGTGGCCGTGTCGTCTAACTCCAGGAGGTTAACTCATGGCAACGCGCCCCCTCTTGGCCCTCTAAAAACAATGCGCCCGTGCGCTACACCTGTGAGACGCTCCGCGACGCGGCATCGACAAAGGCCTTGCACCTTCCGTGGACTCTGAGCACGTCCAGATTAGCTACCCCACACTTCCTGCCTCGTGTTACCTCGTTCCTGTTTCTCCCATTCTGAAAACGCTTTCTCACGCTGTTTTGATTCTCTGTGCTTCCCATTATGATATAGCTGGCTGGGGGACAGATCTCTGGAATTCTTACTAATAAGGCTCAAGCCTTTTGACAGCTTTAAAGCTTTCTGGATTGACTTCTTCAAACAAATGCTTTATTAAAGATTTTTAACAATTCAAAGTCGACATGGGAAAAAAGATCCTCTACTTCTGGTCACATACATGTTTGTAATTATATACATATATATATGTACTTCTATGAAATCCTATTATTTATCCTTAGTGGAAAATTATTTAAAAGTTCAAGTATATTCAGATTGATCAACTATCTGAATGACCCTCATATAAATATTTGATAGAAAAGCATGCATTATATGCACTAGAAGATGATTATCCATTTTGTTAATGTAACATTGAATTATTGTTTTACTTATTAAAAGATTTTATTTAAAAAACAAAGTAAAATCTTCCTTCAATGCTTTTTTGATAATTTTTACAGAAATATTATTAAAAATTGCTACAAACGTTGTTCACTTAATCTAGATTTTTTTCTCACCTAAATTCGCAGTTGGAGTTGAATGTAAAATGAACTAAATTATGATAAGTAAAAAGCAATGGAACGCACAGGAAGAAAGCAAAGTGAAAATGCACTGATGGACACACTTAGACTCTTTTCCCCTCCTCAGGTGTGGCTCAGACACACAACTCAAGGATCAACTTTGACCTCTCCCTTTCATATGTCCAAAGGTAATACTAAGCATCCTGGATCATGTCTACAAAAAAACTAAATGCATGATCAAGAAAATAGTCTCAGACAGCAATATACTTCCATGGCTGATTTTAAATAAGAAAATTTACTGAGAAGGTGATGTAAGAATAATAATATACATATTTTTTTCAAATGGAAAAAGGAGCGTTAGAAATGTAGTGAGCAAAGAAAACTTAAATCATTGACTAAATTCACACAGGTGCCTAATGCAGACTCTTCCTGCCTTCCTCTGTTACCCGTGCTTTGAAAGCTGAAAATCTGTCTCACGTGCCGATGCTGAACACTGAAAATTTTATCCTAAATAATGGACTCCTTGACCACAGGACAACTGGAATTGCAACTAGGTCCAAAACCGAGCCGTAAATTATGGTATCTGAGTAACAAAACTCAAACTGAACTAAAACTTTAGAAAAAAATGAACTTTTATTAAAAATATACTCTTGAAAAATAAAAATGTATTCTGCATAGGAATAACCACTTCAATTTATCACTATTAAGATGCATGAAGGTATACCATGAAGAACATGTTTTAAAACCTAAACCACTATTATTAGTACTATGAGCTAGGCACTTTACGTATATTAGCTTGAATTTCATTACCCTCTAAATTGTAATATGCTCTAGATATCTGCAATTCTAAAATCAATAGCTGCGGTGTTTTCACAATCACCTGAACACATGCACAAAGCCTCAGCACCGCCGGACTGCCGTCGAGGTCTCCGAGGTGGTGATCTGCCTTGCTGTTTCGGTGTAGTTAGCGCCCCACTGACACACTATAACTCCTGCCTGAGTGTAGTGTGTCGAACACAAGTGCTCTCGCCAAGAGACACATCGGAGACTCCTGACTCAGGAACACTAGGCAGCACCTTAGCACACTGCTTGGGGGCCGTTTGAAACAGTGAAATCATCAACAAAGAAAGCACAAAAAGGCAAAGAGAAAAAAGGCACTAAGTAGTCTGCAAAGAAGCCAACTGTTTGCGAGGAGGAGGGCTGGAAGGGGGAGGCAGGGATGGCCTTGGACATCAGCTCTAGAAGCGATGGCTCAGGACTGGCTAATCCGCCGTTCTCAGCGACTTTATGGAACATAAGGACTGTGTATAACGAGCTTCGGCTAATTTTAATAACTCTACAGTGTCTCAAATGGCTACGATATTGAAACACACATCACAGAAGAAAGGTTAACACCTTTGCCTGACGGTAGTATTCAGAATAGTCGAGGGTTATTACACTATTTTGTCATTAAAGAGAAGCCACAGGTCTTATGTGACATAGCGTCTATTTCTTGTGAGAAGATAGAAAAATGTAAATAGACTCTACTTAGTATTCTTTACAATTCTACATTGAATTGGCATACTGTCAGTATTTCAACTGCACGATATAAATTAAGAAATAACGCATTAGAACAAAGCTTAGACAATCAAAAATTTTAAAAAAATCAGAAATGTCCATCGAGTAACCATCCCAAATAATCAAGGCTCCTCACTTGTAGCCGAGCTGGCGACAGGTCACAGCTGCGTCCTTGTCAGTCCACCCGTCATCGCAGACTGTCCCCCACTGGCCGCTGAGAAACACCTCCACGCGTCCTTCTTTCTTATTTTCTCCGTCCACCAGTCTGATGGGAAAACCTGGGTGGCGATTCCAAACAAGCAAACTGAGCTAAAGCATGAGAGACTTCATAAGATACGATTTGTTTTTAAAATCAGCTATAAAATCAGCTGGGCTGGGAGGACATCGACAAAAGCTGCATCCGCTTTCGCAATGTATTCTGAAGCTTTTGAGGTCGTAGTGCTCAACTTCGTAGTCCCAGCAGTGGGCACAGTGCCTGGCACAGAGAGCACATGCAGTAGCTGTTTGGGGACAGGAAGAAGAAAGGGAGGAAGGAGGAGAGGGAGAGAGGGAGAAAGGACAGGAGGGAGGGAGGGAAAGAAAGGAGAAGAAGGAATGAAGTGTACTGTAAAATTGTGAATGACTTTATTACCACGGCTTCTAAACAGTAAGACGTTAACTTAGAGCTTAACTTAGAGCTGTTTTACTTCGTGTCTGTTTATCCTTGAACATAGCTAGAAAATTTACTCCAGAGCTAAGACTTTTGGGAAGGTTTAAATTGATATATTCTTGGCATGTACAGGTAACTTGAAAGCTGGAGGAGGGAAAAAAAGGCAGGCAGCTAACAGGAGCATCTCAGACCTCCTGTCCACTACTTATTCCAAAGGAAAGGCTTACTCATAAAAATTATTATGATATAAAAGTGGAGAAGCTGATCTCAAGCAAACTGAGGTTTTTCTAAGTTATGCAAACGAAGTGATTTGTGGAGTCTGACATATCTCTATGACACCAGTAAATACGGTGTTATTTCCCTGGGAGCCCGCACGGTAGCTGGCACACTGTCACGGGGTGAGTTGTGGGGTCACTGGGGTGGGCCGTCATCTATTAGGACTGGTGTCCCTATCAAACGGGAAGATGCGGACACGGAGATGCACTGAGGGGACATGGGGAGGAGATAGCCGCCTCCGAGCCATGGGAGGGGCCTGCAGCAGACCCTTCCCCTGCAGCCCTGGGGGAACCCACCTGCCATGCGGTGACCCCGGCCTCCCAGCCTCCAGACCGAGACCACAGAACTCTGCTGCTGAAGCCGTCTGCGGCGCCTGGTGACAGCAGCTCACCCTCACAGCCCTCATGGGCTAACACGCGTGAGTCAGGTCTCCAGCTGCAAGGCCCCCAAGACCCACCGGTGAGGATGCGGGGAGGGCAAAGGGATCGGAACTAAGGAGGCGAAGTGTGCGGCGAATGAAGAAAACATCGTCTAATACCGTTTAAACCAACACATGAATTACTAAACGGACATTGGTTAATGAAAGAACGCACTGCTGGCAAGACAGACAGCCGACCGTGACGCCTCGGATCCGTTTCCGCGTGCCCCTCCTTTGTTACCCCCAGAGCTATGGGCCCCCTGGTTTCTGTCTGCTATCACACCTGTTTTCTGGGACAGGCATCCCAGCAGAATCAAATTCCACACACTTCCCCCAATTCACGTAGGCATTAACTGCATTCTTACTAGAATTGCCTTTATTTACCTAGAATGTTGCTTTTGAGCAGTCCATCCATCACAGACCCAGATTTAGAAAGTGTTGATTGAATTATTGCTAATTTTGACAACAGTTTTATTCACAAAGTTAAGGTCCACAGGTTACTCTTTAAATAGTGAGAACGATAGTAGTCCAACAGCTCATGATCGTCATGCCAAAGAAGTAACGAATTTCTATTTGCTTAAGTGCCGTTGTTTATATTACCATTATATATCTCAAGAACCCTAGAATTAAAAAGATTTTCAGGAAAAGATCAGCTGTTCTAACCACATGGATATACTTAACCACGCAGACCTTCAGAAAAGTCAGGTTATGTATTTTGCATAGTGTTTATGATGTTCTGTCACCTGGAGTACTGATGGGCTGTGCCTGAATAGATGACTCCGTGACCCAAATACCTGGTACCTGGGTCTGAAGGATCCACTTCTGGAAAAGAGGTTCTATTGCCCCGAACACACACAACCCTTCATCATACAACACTCCATCGGAAGACAGGAGCAAGGCAGGAGAACAGAAAGAAACGAAATTGGAAATACGACCTATGAGGGGTGGAGTAAAACGATGCACTTGTACGTGGCCTAGCTTGGGGCTGGCACAGCGAGGTGCCCTGTGCTCGGAGCCCGGGGCCCCGTGGGGTGTCAGACGCCACCGGACAAACCGCGGGGCGCGGCGGACTGAGCACATGGGCATCGCTGTGTTATAACAGGGTGATTTAAGCCTCACAGTCTCAAAACAGGAGGATAAAAGGGGTTGATTCAACCCCAAGGTGAAAAGCAAGCACTACTTGTGGTTATTTTAACATCTGTTCATACACACATGCGTTCGCGCGCGCGCGTGCACACACACAGACACAGACACACAACAACAATATATATATAGATACTGTGTATGTTATGTGTAATATTACACATTCTGCCCTCATCAGAAGTTTGGTCTGTTAAGGCTCCGTGGTAGTTCTCTGCTCAAAAGAGGACCTTTATCCATAAATATTTCAAGACCGTTAGACGAGCTAATTAGCTTTATCCAACTACAACTCCAAAGGGGTTTGGAGATGGGGAGAGGTAAAGGTCCCAGAAGCGTTCCTGGAGGATCGGGGTAGCGTGGAGAGATGGGGGGCTGTTCGTTCCAGTGAGTCCACTTAAGAGTCCACTGGGAAACGTGAAAGCGCTAGGTCAGGCCCGAGCCATGGACAGCTGGTGACCAGTGACGGACAGGGACACAGGACTGAAGAAATGTATCATGGGAGTTAGGAGAGCTATGTATCGTTTTGATTTGTAAAATCATGTCTCTAATAGTTCATTAGAATTCAAGGTACACGAGACTCAGAAGAGGGACCAATGAGCAGGAGAATGGACATCGCAGCTTCCTTTATCCATCTCTCAGACGGATAAAAGTAAAATCACTTTAGGAGTATAAATTTTATAACATTGGTAGGAAGACTCAAAAGATTGTTTCTCTGAAAGCAAATTACTGAAAATGAGGACGTTGTAGCAAACAGGCTACAAGGCTGGATGCGAGAGGCTTCCCACTGCAGGTGGGCACACGGAGGCGCCCAGGGCCACCCACTCAGGGACGCGCAGAGCGGGGCGGTCCTCACCCAGAGACGGCCTGTGTCCCTCGCCGCCGGGGTAGCAGGCCAGAGCCACGTCCTCCCGATGGCTGCAGTCATGTGCTCCCCACTGCCGCCTGGAACACTGAAGGAAGCTGGTTTCCTTTCCCGAGCAGCTGACGTCATCCAGCCACACGGGTCCTGCGGGCTCCTTAAAGTGGTGTGCAGCGGCCTGCCTGCCGTGTCTGTGGCGATAAAACACAGATGCTGCGAAGAGCTGCCGCCTCTGGTTTCCAGAAACCACAGCAACCACGGCACAGAAAACGCCCTAATTAAGTGTCACGACTTCAGAGGATGAGCCTTGTCTCCTATCTCCGGCTGCATCACACGTTTTGATCATTTGGACAAGTTTTTACCGATTCAGTCGGTAAGTCACGGATAATAACTAAGCCTTCTTCCTCATTCGTTCTTGTGTTTTATCTGCAGTTTAACTCACCAACCAGAGAGAACACAGAGCTCAGCCTCAAATCCCCGACCATGGGAATAACACGATAGACCAGAGGGTGAGAATGCTTATCTGCACGGGCCTCTGATGAGCTTTCTGAGCTCATCTCATTTCAGCATCTCCAGGCCTCACAAGTAAAAAGTGTGTGAGTTCAATGATTCCTCAAGCACTGTATCCAATCCAGGATGACACTTCAGACTTCAGCCCAGCAAAATCGGAATAACGACAAAATTCTCAGCTTTTCATAAGGTTACATAAACTTAATTTTTAAAACTTTTACGAATTATATTTGTGTTTCAATTGACTTTATTTGTAACACTGCACTACAAAAAACCTGTATGGATTATAATTAAATGAATATGCTACATAAATGAGACGGATCTGCAAAATAAAATTTGGTAACTGTCAGTATGAACCTTTAAACCTTCATTCATCCTCTCCCCGGTTTTGT